GATTTCAACCTGCAATCGGTGCAATACGAGAGTTTGTATCAAATCATTAGAATTGATATTTTCTTTGTTCTTAGATTTATTTGAGATATCTTACTCCATTTCTATGGAGTAATTTCTATTTGGGTGTTGATAGATATGGTGTTTTAATAACTTTATTAGGGATTTGATTCTTGATAATTATTAGAATTAACTGATGGAGCTTTAATATGTATTGTGGAGTTATTTAGTATTTTGTTTAATCGAAATAGGAGTTTTATATTGGATTTTTTCACATCTTATGATCTAATTTAAATTCGTGATTCAAATAGGTAATCTAAAGAGGCTCTTGAATTGTTAATCGAACTAGAAAATAGGGAATATTCGTGAGAAGTTACCCTTGAGATCATAAACATCATTTTATTGTTGCAATTGTTTATCGTGCTTCAATTGGATTAATTACTGAAATTAATGTTTAATCGAAAGAGGAAGATTAACTTCAAGTGTAATATGATTATCAGTTGAATTCGTGAGAATCAACCGTATTATAGAGTGAATTAACTCAAGAATTGGATCCCGATTCGGTTATCTTGCACCTGTCTAGTCAATTACCCTTATTTCCCTCATTGATATTTCTTCGTGCTCATCTGCTATCTTTTGTGATCAATTGTTATTTGCTTAAATTTTAGTAGTTAATCATAGTAATAGTCATCAAATGAAGTGTTAATTTTCCTGGATAGTAATCAATTGGGGATTATTCGAACACTATGTAAATCCAATCTCTGTGGAGACGATAATTAATCTATACTATCTTTGGCTAGCGAGCATAAATTTTTTGTTATGTTTTGCGCTCGTCAACATCAAAAGGTACTATTGTTGACGAGCATCGCCTATACTGAAAATATGTGTTGCAACAGAAAGCATACTACAAAGGAAGCTTCGTCGGCAGAAATAAGACCTAAATGATAAGGCATGCAGACAACGAGTCACTATGGAGCGGTTAGATAGTCTTTTGCTCTGTAGTAAAATTCCTACCGGGAAGTAAAGTTTACTATTGGGCCAAAGATTATCCGACCGTTCACGAGTGCAAGCCACTAGGGGATTATTAGATAATCTTTGGCTCAATAGCAAAGTTCCTAAGGGGAAGTGAATCTTGCTATCGAGCTAAAGATTATCCAACCATTCACTAGTGAAATCTTTAAAGGAGCAAGACTTCCAGTATTCAAATTCGCATTCTTCGCACTCGAACACTAGGGAGTGGGGGGGGGAATGATATGAGAATACAACAATAACTGCCACATCGACCGAGACTACAAAATCTGGAAACACTTTATCATCAGGACAAGGGACTGTGCGGCCAGCCCTGTAGAAACAAGTTGTACAAGTTAGCCACAAGTTATGGCAAATTTCTTTTTAGCACATCGAAGGCTTATGTACTTTTGAAAATGGAAGGAATAAAGTAAAGTCCTTTTATTTTTATCTTGTTTCTTGTCTTATCGATGAATTAATTTTATCATTTGAAAGTTAAATAAGTACGTCAAATGGTAGTGTCGTAATGAACAGGAAACACCCTCTTCAAGAGCACCTAAACATAAGAGGGCCCTCTCTTATGAAACCCTCATGGTAAAGGGTTAATTCTAGAAGAACTTATGCCTGGAATCTAAATGTTGTTGGGAAAAATACACTTGAAGCCTCGCATAACTCGACGCAAAGAGAAAAACTTGTGCAATACTTAAACGAAAAAATACTTCTATATACAGTAAACATGCCAAACAGCACGAGTACAAAGTATGGAAAAGAAAAGAAAAGTGAAACGAAAGCAAAAGGCTAAGCTACTACATCTCCAGAATTCGGAGGAAGAGAAACATCTGCACCCCTAGGAGAAGTATACGGATCCGCCGCCGACTCACCATCTTGTCCTTCACCATCATCCCCTTAAGGTTCTTCTTTAGTTCTCGAGAACTCGGAACCAGAACCAGAAGAGTCAGTAGCATCAGGTTGGATTAGAAGACCCCTTTGGGCAATTGACTCTAGCTCACGGGCCTTGGCGATCTTGGCATCAAAATCAATGGCACCCGCTTTGTCCTCTTCCAAGGTTTTTTTCCTTATGATATACATAGAATATATTTTTTCAACAATGAGGGAAGTCACTCAGCGCAGAAGCTCTTCCATAAGCTATTCAACCTCAGTTGAAAGGTTGTTCCTCTCAGACCATGGCTTGAAGGCTGACATCGAGGTCACAGATAGTGGAGTTAAAAACTTTATTATGATCTATGTCTCTATTATGCCTCTTTTCTAACCGGGCATACTTCTCCTCAGCAGCAGCAACCTCTTCAGCTTTGGAGTTCAAGGCTGCCTCCAAATTATTCAATCTTTCTGTAGAGGTAGCCTCGCGATCAGATGCAGCAAGAACGACATTTTGGACCTCAACCCATTTTGCCTTAACTTCTTCAAATTGTACCCTTAACAGGGCGGCCTTTTGACCAAGGGTCACTACCTCTTGCTTGCTTTGCTACAACTGAGACTCCAACTCAATAGCCTCAGCAGCTTGTGCTTCCTGTTATGGGAGGCGAGCAACAATTTGATCATGCTCGGCCAATAATTGATCTCGCTCGGAGGTGAGTTTCTCCTTGTCAAGGATAAACCTCTGAAGGCCCTCAGAAGCAAGGAGGTTAGCCTGCAAAACAGAAGTATAAACTAAAAATCCTGCCATAACAAAGATAGAAGAAACAACAGAGGAAACAAAGTCGTTGCATTGTGCATGGCATTGTTCACCATGCACTCTCCCGAGAGAGATTGTATTTTATTCAAATCCTTTTCTGAAGCCACAAGCTTCAGATAATTAGCAAGTTCCACTGGCCGGGACAGCAGATAGCATCAGGTAGAAATCGAGAGGGAAACACTCCTCCTCCTCTGAGAATCTTCGACGGGGCAAAATAATTATGCCCCAAATTCCCATGAACTGGGGACTGGAGAAGAGGGACATCCTCCCCTCGGACGCCCTCGGCCAGTGAAGATGATGTATCAGTTGCTAATGGCAAAGGCAAAGTCGGCAAAGAAGGAGATGAAGTTGATGGCATTGTCTTGAGAAGCAACTACGACAAAAAGAGTGCTAGTTGTTGGTTCCTCATCAACCGAAGACGGGAGAGACCTGGTACCCAGCCTCACGATATCGGAAACAGTGATTGGGACTCGAAAGTGAGAGTTAGCATCTTCCACTACATCATATTCCCCTAGAGAGCCATGACATCATCCTCGATTGGCATAACTAGATCAAAAGATTGAGCATTCTGTTGAGCTGATGAAGGTCGTCGCCTTCTATGTAGAGAAGCCCCATCATCACTAGCTCATCCATCATCAATGATCACTATAGTGTCTATGGCTGGCTCGGGCGTGGCGCTCATCATCATAATGTCCCTAGATGGATCGGGCACGGTGCTCTTCGCCTTTTTATTTTTGCCCTCGGCCATGGAGTCACGTCATCTTTTTTGTTGCTTGTTCTCCAGCTGGGGACTCCGAAAAGAAGCACTTGCACCAGAAGTAGGCCCGATGACATCCGTTTGGGTGAAAGCCTCGTGCAGAAACCTCATCGCGTTAGTAGGATCAGCCAAGACGTCCTCCTCGGGGATGGTAATAGAGCCCTGTGGAAGACTTGAATTCAACAGGGAAAAAAAATTAACCAATTTTCCTATACGAAAAGTTAAAACAAGATACATTCAACCTACTATGACTTTTATCCTTCCACCCGTATTTAAGGGCCAGTTCTTTCCACTTTCGGGTATTAGGCGTAGTGACATCCAAAATCTTCTAGACCCATCGGTCCAAACCTTCAACCCTTAGTAGTGTCGACCGAGTTGCTGAAATAGTGAAAGAAGAAGAATCAATAATAGCATGGGACAATCTTTAACTAGAAGGAAAGACAGACGATGAACTTACGAGTACGGTTCCATGATTCAGGAAAGGATAGAGTCGTGGCTGGGATGATGTCCCTGGTGGTGACTGCAATGAACCGCTCCATCCATCCATGGTCGTTGTCATCGTCCATGCTGGTTAGCGAAGCATGGTGACCACGTTTGCTGAAGTTTATCATTCCCCAACGGAAAATCTTGGGGGAATAAAGATTCCCCAGTTGATCCAGGGATAACTCTTCTCCTGTCTCCTAGTATAGACACCGAAGACAAGTAATCGTCTTCCATACAGAAGGGCTCACCTGTGCCAAGTAGACTTGGTAACGGATGTAAAACTGCAAGATAACAGAGTCAAGCATCGCGATCAATGAGAACATGCCCAAAGTGAAGGGGTATATATAAACATACGTAAAACCCTTACTTAGAGAAAGTTACCCGCTCTGCTAGGTCAGGAGCAATGATATTCAAATCTTGACAACCACAATCTTACTTCACATCAGGGATGCTAGAAGGATGGATGGAAGAAGAGTATAAACCAACAGCCCATGTGTGGGGGTTAGCAGAAGGGTACTTCTCTTCGAAGTCTTTAGTTGTAGTAAGTCTTCTGGGATAATGGTGCTCACTGTAGGAGGAGCATCATCATCAGTGTTTTCTTTGTTCTTTGAAGAACTGAAATTTCTAGAATAGGAGGCCATTGTTAGTAAAAGGAATTAAGGGGTTTTCCTCCGAAGAAGAAGATTAAAGGAAGTTGAAAACAAGTGTGAGTTGAGTAAAGAGAGTTTGAGAGAGTTTAGAAAATTATGAAGTGCAAAAGGAGAAGATAGATGCGTATAACCAAAGGAATAGGCAGCTAAAATCATGGTCATAATTACCTCGAGAACCGGCGAAAGTTTTGTTGAATCATGGGATGACGCGTGTTCGGGGCATTAAATGCGGAGAGACGTGCGTCTAATCAACTGTCAAAAAACTTTTCAGAGGGGATCCGAGAATTTTCCGCCAAGAAAGGTATCTTCACCAACTTTCCGGTAACACAAGGATGTGCCACCGAAAAATAAGAGAACTATTTGTATAGGGTAAAGTATGTTCATATTAAATGCTCGCATAATAAAGTGACACATGGAGCCGAAGGCAGATGGAAAGCGAGGCAAATGGCAATCAGGTCCGAAGGCAATAATCCTGTTTGTTCCCGAAGGTAATGATGCACATAAAGACAAAATAAATTCCTATCACCCGATAGCATTTAATGGAGAATATTCTATAGCATTAAGTACGTAGTCCGTTACAGAGAATATGGCATTCATTGCCTATCGTTACACATTCTTTAATGGCCTCCATAATTGTCATTTAAGAGGGGCTTGATCCTAGGACCTTGTTCCCTGGGAACAACTATAAATAGTGAGCTCAACAGCCATTGTAAGGGAAAGGAATTTTTTACAAGCTCATAATATACACTGTTTAAAGTTCAATAATATTTTATCTTCTTGCTTATTAATATCATTACTACTGCCTCCGGAAGCTCTGCTCCTCGAACCAGAATTTCTGTTGTCTTATCTCGATTTCAATGTTAAGTCTTACATTCTTGTTTAATTTATTTGTCATTTTGGGATTAAATCGATTCACTTGTCTATAAACCATATATAAATTCAACTGTATCGTTTTACGGGTAAACAGAAATGTTCCTTTTACTAAGGCATTTTATCCCTCATCGAAAAATAAAAAGGAAATCCTTGTGCTTTTATAGAAAAGCACATCCTATCTCTTAAAAGAGTCGAGAAGAAGTGATGTCTCGTGTTGTCGTCTTTGAGCATCGCTTGCTCGGCATTGATTAATATAGTAAAATTCGCGGTTTAATTTCCTTTTCCTAAAGCAAAATTTATTATTAAAATTTTCGATTTAAATTTATTATTTTCAACACTAATTTCTAATATGAAAACACTATCCCCTCTTTTTCTGTATATTGCATAGGTTTTCAAAGCAAAAAAGTAAATGTTCAGGGTGATTTGCAGTCGTTTGTTTAGTTCACTAAAGTTTTGTAATTTTCATTGCCTGTATTACAGAATAGTTGTTTCATACTTCCATTCTATCTTGGGAAGATATCCAATAACCTTGGGCAACAATGAGGGGATTAAATTCATTAAGAAAAATACAATTATCTGTTGGCTTAGAACAATTTAATTCTCCTACTTCTATTTTTGTTTTACTTTTTTTTACAGAATTTATTATCGAACACAATTTATTAACATTAAGTGTTATATGGGGGTAGTGGTAAAAAATTAAACTAGTGTTTAGAAAGTTAAATAGTATGAGCAAGAAACCATCATAATAAGGTATAACCCGTTATTACTATTACTTTCATTTTCAATTTTTCAAAGTTACTAATCTATAGATACTAGTAATATTTTACTATAAACAACATCTAGTTGGCTTTTAAAAGTTACACCTACTTGATTATGTAAATATATATCCTTTACTTTTTTGTATACAAAACTTAAAATTCTTACTTAAAAGAAAGGAGTATCAAACATTTGAAATTATTTAAAATAAAAAGAGTCATATCATTTAAAGTGGAAGTTATTGGATAGTAATTAACTACTGACTAAATCTAGACTTTCTCCTCCAATTACAAGAATCTGCATGACTAAAAAAAATAATTCAAAACCTCCAATTACATCACCTACTCCACCCCTATAAATACAGCTAACTTTGTCCATTTTCTGCTACTTCATTTTCTTTCAAAGGTAAACACTAAACAACTCTTTTCCTTTCACTTGGAGAAAATTCAGACCCTCATTTGGTTTCTTCTTTCTCATTTGGAAGGTTTTCAAAAGCAAAAGTTTTGTTTTAATAAGAACTTTAAATGGAGAATCTACCAGTATCATTGTTTATGGAAACTGCATTAACATCAACGCCAACGTTGCCCCCTCGCAACAACATTTCTTCTTCTTCACAGAAAAATGAGGGTCTTGATTTGGCTTCTGCCACCCCAAAACAGTTGGTGTTATTACTACATGATGTTAATCTTCGCGAAGAGGTTATCAATCAACTAACTAAGGTGACACGTTTTAAACCTTTTTATCTAAGTGTTTATATATATATGCATTTTGAGTACGTGTTAGTTTTTGTTTATCTATTTGTTTGTGTGTTTTTGTCCTCTACTTTGTGGCTGTTCGGTGTGTGCATGAGATATATAAAGGTAAAAGAAGTTCATCTGTGTTGTCTTTCATGCCTTCTTTTGCTCTTTTGAATGATCGCTAGAATCCACATTGAATTCTCTCAGAATAATATGATTGAGTGTTCTATTTCGATTAGAGATGTCAAAACAGGCTAGCGGGTTATAGAATTCAACGGACAAATAGCCCTTAAAGTGATGATTTTGAATTTTTATCCCCGTTTGCACAACTTCAAATTTAATATGCGTCTCGCTTGCCCCATAACCATCACTTTTAACTTCTGACCTTAAAGTTCTTTCATACTCCCAAAGAACGTCAATTATTTCTGAATTCTTTTGGAATTCTAACAGTCGAGTTCAGCCCAATCCTCAGTTGAAAGGGCTTAGCTTGCAAAATGCTAGCCCAATTCATCCATATATATATATATATANAATATACCTCTTCTTATTTTCACTCATCTACCTAACTTCAGTTGGATAATGAATCTAAATTTTAAGTTGAATCCATCATTTTCGTAATACACAAATAGATTATTGTGCATATTAATTTTATTTTTCTTTTGAGTTATAATTTTCCTCCAACCATCAAATATCAAATGAATTTTCTTTAATTGATTTGCTGAAAATTTTAGAAGAATACGTTTTAATCTGTAATTATAAGTTGTCAATAACTAATTTATCTGTTAATTTCAGGAAGTGATAGCAGTGTACCCAAAGTTGTCAACCTCAATGATATCTATTAAGGAGTCAACTCGAGTGTGTAATGCCCTTGCTTTGTTTCAGGTCAGAAATGCACTACTAAATTATGTATTTGACATGCAACCTCTTTTATGCACTTATGAAAAAACCTGTTTGATTTGGTGATCAATGTGCTTTATGCTGCAATTGTCGTTGGCTTCGAGGAAAATCAGAGATGTGATGTCTTTATTTTTCTTGGCTTCTAGCCCTCAAGTGAAACGCAGCAGAGATACCCTTAAATTCTTTTAAATAAGTTCAGCCGAGTAGTTGTTACCATGTGATCAGGAGGTCACGGGTTCGAGTCGTGAAAACAATCTCTTGCGGAAATGCAGGGTAAGGCGGCATACAATAGACCCCTGTGGTCCCTCTCTTCCTCGCAGAAGCTTAGTGCAACGGACTGCCCTTTTAAGTTCAGCTGAGTAATATCAGATTAGACAGTAATATCTTTTCCATGGCACAAGATTATCGTAATGTTCAGTCGATAGGAAGAGGAGGTCATGAAATGAAATTGATGATATCATGACATAACGTATTTTTGACACCAGTTTTTACCACTTCATGATATGCATCCACCTTACTCTTTTATGGTTATATTCTACAGTGTATGGGAAATCACCAAGAAACAAGAAGGGAGCTCATAAAAGGTAATAATGTCAGTTCTTGAAATGATACAAATTTAAACCTATGCTGAACTACTTGTAAAAAGTGAATCAAATTGCTGCAAGTGTATGAGTATGGGAAGATTCAGGTACATAGGTTTCAAAATGATCTATCGCTTTACAGTTTCAAAATGATCGTATTACATTATCTATTTTACCCTTCCAATAGCCTTCTAGAGTTAAATAAATTTATCCACATCTATTGGCATATCTTCCTTCTCTATTCCTGCCAGCGTCTAAATGCATAGAAGTACAAATTCTCCCAGCTGTAGTCCATTTTCATTCTATACTTGTGTTTCATCTGTATAATTGTTCAAAAGAAAGTTTCTATTTCTATGAACTGTGATTCTAATTTTGTCCCAACACAAATGGAAGATGTTCATTCCATTATCATTTTTGTGGTGAAACGTGCAGATCATGCTTGCGAAGCTTTTGCAAATCATATGTCCTTTTAGTGCTCTAGTTGCCTTCAACTCTAATTTTTGCGCATTTTTTCAATAAATCGTATCGCTCTGCATCCCCCTCCCCATCTTCTCTTTTGATGGGAATGCTGGAGTAATTGCAGACTGAATTACAATTGGTTTTCCTATTGTTGAGAAACACAGTTTAACTCTTCTAGTAACTATTCTTTGCAGCTAAAATACCATTTTATTTTTACCCATTTCTCAAGACCAATGGAAAAAATGGAAATGACAAGCCTTTGGAGTTTATCAGGCTCACCAGCTTGGGTGTTATCGGTTCCCTAACAAAGGTATTCTTCCATTTGAACAAATACATGCGTGCTCTCTCCATTGTTGTCGCTCGTTCATTTCATGCATTTGTTTTTTTTCAACTTTCTTCAAGACTGGATGTTCGGTAGTTAACACTACTTTACTGTTTACATATGCCTTAACTAGACATAGTATAAGTATTAGTTACGGCTAATGGCTACCTGATAATCAGTTCTTGAATCAAGTATCTTTTTTTCTTTTTTTTCTTCTTGAGGTATCCATCTGCATTTCTTGAATCATTTATTCACAACGCTATATATGGCATTTCATATTGGTAATTAGACCACTGATCATACATTTATAGCATTATTTGATTCCGAATTTTGCTTGCTAATGCAGTTTGATGATCCATACGGTGGAGAGGTCCTTTATTTTTTCCTGGAAACAGAACTGGTTCCTTTGTGCCTGCATTGCATGGATCTAGGTGATGAATTGTCGCGTAAGGTTAGCCTGCAACATATTGATTCTGTTCCGTATTTGTTTTTTGTGTTGAATTATTAGGTTACAACTAGGATAATATAGTGCAGACAGGATAGTGTTATCAAAGGCGCGCTTAAGCCGTGAAGCGAGGCTCAAAACATGTTGAAAGCTTCGTCTCACTTAGCAGGCGCTTCAGTATTTTCACCAAGGCTCTAAGACATACTTTTCCTTGTCAATAAGCGAAATCTCGAAGAGGCGACATTAAACCATTGATAGTTTACTTTGTCGTAAAATTTCTTCAATTTCTTTCTTTCCATATATTTGGTATTCATGCTTATAGATATTAGTCTTGGACTACACATACAAATTCGTGGTTTTTCTTCATTTGCGCCTTTCTTCATTAAAGCCCATATATTTGCACTTTGCGCTTAAAGCCCTAACAGACCTTAGAGCTTTTTTGCGCTTTTGGCTTTTGATAACACTGGATAGGATTGTATCTATTGAATATCTTTTCTTTTTTTGTATAAGCTTGATTGCTGTTGCATCGGGAAAGGGAGAAAAGGGTGCTTCAGAAATGTTTGCGAACTCCTGATTTTCCATTCTGCTTTATAAATTGTGTTTCTGATTGACTTTACTGGTTTGTGGTGATATACTGATTCTTGGCATCAAAATATGAAAAGAATGTTCTATGTCTGCACAGGTCGCAACACTCATAGTTATGAAAATCTTGATGCAAGAGGAAGGACTAAGCTATTGCTGTGCTTTAGCTGAACGGTTTTACTCAATAGTACAGGTCTTGCATCGAGTGGTAGAGAAACTTTCTCAAAAACCTTGTATACTGCTGCTAAGATATGTGATACAGTCTTATCTGTGTCTTTCACAAGTATCAAGGTTCGTCGGGTAGACATCTTTGTCCTCAGGTTTCATAATTTGCGATTTTTCTGTTATATTTGTCTTTGAATTTGTTGTTTGTTCCACTTTCATAATGCAGACCATCTGATGCATTCAGAAGCCAAATTCCTTGTCAGCTATTCGACAACACCTTTATGGACATGCTTCGTGTAAGTTCATCTTCTCTCCTCCTTTTTACACACTAATAAACATGATGCATCTTCTAAAGAATTTCTAGTATTAGAATATCGGAACTTGCTATCGCCTATACACCCGGACCCCACTTGTGGGATTACACTGGGTTTGTTGTTGTTGGTATTCGCCTATGTAGGTCTTTCTCAATTATTATTACAACTTCAAGTGTATACAGTCAAACCTTTCTATAACATCCCTGTTTGCTCCGATATGCACTATAGTGAAATGCTGTTATAGAGGACATGTATTATAACATAACATAAAAATCAGTTCCGAAACAAACTTGGCTTTTATAGTGAATGATTGTGCTATTATAGAGAGGTCTGACTGTACTTGTTTATTTTGCATATGACTTTGCAGGATGACCCCGAAACTTCAACGATGTTGCAGCAGCTATATCTCCATATAATGCGCTGATCAAGACAGTAATAAGATTGTAAACATGGATACGACTCTATCCTCTATACTAGTAGGAAAAGAGGACATGAAACACCAAATAGCCACCTCAGTTGGCTCATTTTGGAATTTTATATTGTGCTTCAACTGTATTATTCGTAGGGATGCTGATGCCAAATGAGGGGTAAAATATTTTTAATTTTTCAACAGTAAAAGCTCGAAAACTTGTTGCAAAGTTATGTCGGTATAAGTTATGCTGGAATAGTTATGCTGGGATTGTTGTTTATTCATTGTTTGGTATGTTGTATTAAGAATGACAATTGCATAATTTCTAAGAAGAAGGTATAAGTTATACCGGTGCTAATTACCCCACCTTCTATAAAGTATAAGTTATCCCGGTGTTAAAATTAACACCGGGATAACGTATACTTGGCTTGCTAACCAAACAGAGTATTAAGGTGGTATTAAATTTTTATATCACCCTTATACCTTCTTATACCTCATACCAAACGACCCCTTATAGTTTTGTCTTTGCTGGTGGACTACATTGTATACCAGTTTTTCCTTAATCTGCCCTTAGTGCTAATTAAGTGAATCGCTTAAGGAAGAGATGAAGGTAGCTCGGAAAATATTCTTATGATTACTATATACTGCAATTAAAATGTCTTTCCTATGCAAAACTTTGAAAGACGGATATATGAGATGAAAGTATCAACCAAGAGATTAAATCTAAAGACCCCTTTCAGCCATTTTCATTTGGCACTTTTGCAGACTTATGTAAAGTGCCAAAAAAAGATTTTGGATCTCAAGCAGGTTATACACATTTCTCTTCTCCCTCGAGCTTGAATCTGTAAAAAAATTCAAGGAAATAATCCCTTGTGACCACTTATAATTTGAATAAAAGAAAATGATCTTTTCATCTCTTGTGTGTTATTTTCAAATCTCTATGTATTAAAAAGAAGAACTCCGGTAAAAAAGACATAAAACAAAAAATAAATTTGTAAAGGACTACAAAACCAATTCTCCGTAGATTAAATGGAAGAAAAAAAAAACTATGCTTAACGAACATAATAGCATCACGGTAAGTCTGATAATTTCATCCACATTGCACTTGGACTGCAGAAAGGAACATTGTGAACATCCAAACCAAGTTTGTCTCATTTGTTTCAAGCTAAGACATTCATGTGGTTTCCAATAGTATGCCAATGATAAAATCATTGTAAGAACACAATCTAATCTTTTTGAAAATGAGAACACAATCTGATCTTTACAGAAGAGTCCAAGAAAATTTTTGTAAACCAGAACACAGTCTAGTCTTTATATATCTTCCTATGCGTATGTCATAAAGGGGTTCATTGACAATACATCTCAAACTAACATAGCAAATCAGAAAGCTACTCTAGGGATGTGGAAGAGTTCATTTGTTTACCTCTAAAAAGAAACATAACTCTTCTTCTCTCTTCAGATACAACAAAATATCCCGAAATTTATGTGTTACTCCTTCGCACCCATTCAAGAAATTCAAGACAGAAAATTACAAAAGCAATCATATTCTCTTACAATAAAATACATGAACAGGATCGACCTGATTACAAAAATCTTGAAGGCTAACCAAGTGAACAAACCCAGGTATCAATCCCTGGGAAGAGAATTGTTGGATTTCGAGGGAATGGATAGATTGGTCTCGAGCATAAAAGAAAGATCATGCATCTGCGACATTATACCTTCTATATCCATATTATTCTTTGATGGATTTGATTCACCACGAATGTCTGCATTCTCTGAAGCATCACCAACCTTACTTGGGGTATCAACGGCACTAAAATATGTCAAATGAAATGTAAGAAATTGTTGATCGAACTCATAATTAGGAAGTTAACAGTTCAATGACAAAAAAACAAAAATACAATCATGATTTAACATGGCAACCTCTCCAAGTATTGCCTCCTATGTATTTCTCAGTTTCTTATTCTTCACTTAAGGTCGTAATGGGACCTCTTCCACTAGAAATGTTAAGTCTAGTTATCTTTATATAACATAAGCTTCAACGATATCACTAGTGATCATTGTCAGCCATTATATATAGCTAAATGGCTCAATAGATACAGAAGCGAATTCAGAAAGTATCATTTTTTTTTCTTTTTTTCTTTTTTTTGTTGCTTCTTTTGGGGTGAGCAGGGTTGAGTTGCTTTGCTCTCATGAAATCTCTAGAATAAAAAAGAAAATCAATGTAAGGTTTAGCATCAATTAATCAACAGAGCTACTTGTTATTTACTCAAGGAAGATAGTTGGATAAATAGGTAATAAAGATCTATCGAGATTCGAGTCAATCACCCTGGAAATAATATCTCTTGATTTTTTTTTCTTTCCAAAACTAGGCTGGATTTGAATCATCGTTTTTGTTATTGTTGTGAGTTTACCTCTCTGGGACAAGGAAAGTAGGAAACATGTAACTCTCATCCTGGGAAGACGGAAATAATTTCCTCTCTCAGCTCCAAAAGAGCCCATGTAATCCTCCTCTTCTAGAAACTTCTACCTTTCAACCTCCAAGTCATTACAAATGTAAAACCCTTTAATGAACACATTCGTATCTTTTTTCCATTTCTCTGAATTTCTTGTTTTCAGGTGAGGGAGGCACAGGGTAGGTGAAAGGGGAAGAGGAGTCTAGTGAGAACGGACCTTGCACCTCCAGGATGAAAGACAGTTACCAATCAATAGTCAGTTCCTATTTTCTTCTGTCTCAAATTTGCACAAAGCTGAATTTTATACTTCCTCAAAATTTGCACAAAGTTGAACCAACAAAACTTCAAAACTGTCGTAAGCTTATTGTACCCTTACCTTCTCCAAGGAACTTTCGGCGGATACTGCAGTATTTTTCCTATATTCTTTTCTTCCATTGCTCCTTCCTCATACTTTTTTATTCTTTTTCCCATTTCACAAATATTTTATATTCTGTGATGCTTATTTTGATTTAATTCATTTATTTTACTTTCAAAAGCCATGGTTGAAGCCGGCGTTCTTCCAGATTCTCCTTTCTTTTCTATTGCTTTTTATTTGTCTCGTATTCTGTGATTTTCACTATGTTAAGATCTAATCCCCCCATTTCTACCTTAACTCTACGTTTGGCTCCAGGAAGGGGAGAGGGAGGGTGAAAGAGAGAAATTAACTGGTTTATTTCCCCAAGGTAAGATTTTGATAATTTACTTCCAATCATTTGGTATAGAAGGAAATAAATCCAAATTAGTTACTCCTTTCAGTCCAAATCGGAAGATCTTATGTGGAGGGGTATTCTGACCCTTCTAAATTTACTTCACCTGCCTTACTCTTAAACAAGGGAAATAACCTTAATCCTCAGATTTCCTGCCGATCCTCCAGCCCCTGCACTTTTCGCCCCAACCATAGTATAAGAGCAATATTTGACGCCTATGTTCCTCGGAATCTCCACTAATCAAAAGAAGTCTTCCTAAATCAGCCATATTACAAAAATAATAAAAATATGCACACACCTGAATATGGTAGGAACTTCCAAAATATTGTCATTCACTTCCGCAGAAACACCTTCTTTACCAGGTGCACCTGAAAAAGGATCTGACTGCGAAAAACTGCCAAAATCCATATCTTCAAGGTTTGAACTGAAATTTGTTAGTTCTGCATTATTGTTATTGTTGTCATTGTCGCTTTGCACCAGAACATTCTCAAATGGATCTTTGGTGGGTACAGAGGAGGTAAAAGTATTCCATTCATCAAAGGAATCATCATCCCCATTTGCAGTATCATGTTTAGGTGCAGGTGCATTCTCAAATGGATCTTTGATGGGTGCGGAGGAGGTAAAAGTATTCCACTCATCAAATGAATCATCATCTCCATTTGCTGCATCATGTTTAGGTGCAGGAGCATTCTCGAAAGGATCTTTGATGGGTGCGGAAGAGGTAAAAGTATTCCACTCATCAAAAGAATCATGATCTCCATTTGCTGCATCATGTTTAGGTGCAGGTGCATTCTGAGTCTGCCATGTGTCATCTTGAAACCAATCAATGCTAGTAGAGGGGTCGTTTGAACTATCTTGTAATTCAGCATCCTTAGGTCTCACAATTGGAAGAACTTCCCCAGCATTTTGCGATGCTCCCGAATTTGCATTATCCCATAGGTCAACTGCCGGCCAATCATTAGCTGCAGGAGAAACTGCTGCAACATCCATCAGTTTTCCATCTATTGGGCCTTTTGGGGTTCCAAAAACCGTATCTAACTGAGCTGAAAGATCAACATCTGAGCCAACAAAAGTATCAGTTGATTTGGAACCCTCCTGCTGGTTTCCAGAACTAACTGTGGAACTCATAGAGGTGCCAAATGTGGTAAACACATGCTGACCTGCAGAACCTATAGGAGTGCTAGATTTGTTAGACACATTCTCCTCTCCTGAATCAGCACTCTGAAAATCTGCTTTCCATCCAGAAAAGTCATTCGTAGTTTCGACAGTAGAAGAGGTCACAGCTCGTTCAGAGGATCTGTCATCAGTAGTTTGGACTGTAGCAGAGGTCACAGCCAGTTCAGAGGATCTGAGATTCTCAAACAAACTAAGATCCTCATGACTTCCATCAGTTCTATTTACTGCAGTCCCAATATTATCGCTTATGTCTGCCTGTTCTCTGTGAGCACTGGATATGTTTGTAAAAGAAAGGAAGTTGTCCAGGTCAACTCCAGTCGAACTGTAAGAGCTTTTGCTTTGCTCTAGCTTCTTATTTGTAATAGTGTTGTCTGTCTCCAGCTCAGTTGGCCATCTAATTTTCAGGTCAAGCAAATCAGACAAAAGAATTTCATCATGGGGTGAACTCGGCCCCTTGTTTACCTGATTCTTTTCAGTAGCTGCTCCAACCTTCTCCTGGAAACCAAAATGAGACAAGTTCTTAACTACTCCTAATTCAACAAGTTTACAGTAAAACCAAAGTCTATTGAAAATGCTAAAGGGCTTAAGAGAAATAAATGAAAGAAGAAACAGTGTGCAACAGAGGTGGATCCAGGATTATAGTTAGTGGATTCGAGCTTCCACTCACCCACTAATTTTTTGTGAAAATGAGTTGTGATGCAGCATATGTATTCTTAAAAAAGATTCAAATATATAATGTGTATATAAATTTATAGCTCAAGCCGAATCTGCATCTGCTAAGCAAAGCTACAGAAATATATATCGAGCCATAGGACTGAAGCATAATAACCAAAAACAACACAAAAAAGCCCAATCTTGCATAATCGTCCAATAACAGGAAGCAAGAGACATATTGAGATAGAGCAATGAGCGAATTTTGTGTGTTTTGAGATAGAGGAAGAGAAACCTGACACAATGTATCAAGGAGGATGAGGATTTTAAGTTAGTAGATTCAGAATATCACTACACTAAACTTTTGTGCACACACTAATTCTTGGTCAAGGATTAGAATCTATAATATATTTGTTTTTAAGAAAATCTCAACTATATAGCTCAAGTCAAATCCTCCCCTAACTGAAAGCAACTAACGTACCCATACAAAGCAATAAAGCAAATTGTATGTGTTCAATAGAAAGGAAGAGGGGCCCCAAATACTGATCCACAAGAATCTTAAGTCAGTGGATTTGAAGTACCAATGGAATCACTACTTCTTGGTTCGCATGTAAATATATACTCCCTCCGTTCACTTTTACTTGGCACGTTTTGACTTTTCACGCTCCTTAAGAAAGAATACGCTCCTTAAGAAAGAATAAATGAAGTGCATAATTTACCATGATACCCATATTAATTGATGCACATTTTATTGGATTTGAGAAAATAATTTGAAATGAGTAATAAATATTGTGGGTATAATAGGAAAAAAAATATTGTCTTCTCTTGATAAGCGTAAAGTGACAAGTAAAAATGAAAATCTATTTTTAGTATACATGCCAAGTAAAAGTGTACGGAGGGAGTATATATATAACTTTAGAAAGTTTCCAAGTATAGATATGTAGCTTAAGTTGAATCCACAAAATATAATAAAAAAGATCTAATCTTGCACTATCATTCCTCCATAACAGGAAGCAACCAACACACTCATATAAATCAGTGAGCAAATCGTGGACATTTTGAGACAAAGGAAGAGAGACCCAATACACCACTCATCAAGGGTTCCAAGTACCAAAGCAATCACTAATTCTTTATGACTACAGCTTGGAACTTAGTATAGTCATTATTTCTAAACAATGATTCAAAAATATTCTCAAGCCAAGGAAAAAACAATCTTGCATTATCATTCCTTCATAACAGGAAGCAACCAACACACTAACATATTGCAATAAACAACATGCGTTCCAGAAAAAAGTACAACAGACACAGCATACCGATCCATCAAGGCGAAGGGCTTGGAGAAACCATTGATAACCAACAGTGGACTTAAAAGAAATAGGGTCAGGAGCCACGTCAGCGTTTTTGTGCAATTTCTGACCGCAATATATGCAAATCAAGGACTGAAGCCCTCTGAGAAGCTTGCCTTGGCAGTGTTTACAGCGGAGATAGGGTGGAGAAGGGTCGAAGGCGGCGACGGAGGCGGAAAGAGAAGGCATGGCCGGAAGTGAAGGGTCATCTGGGTTGTAGTCGGGTAGACCCGCTTCGGTTCGGGTCGAGATCTTAGCCTGCTGGATCAGATCATTTGGGAGCTCCAACGCCATTGTCGAGCAAAGTAAACAGAGTGGTGTATGTTTAGTTAGGGATTTTGTTGTTTTCTTCAGTTCAATCACTTGAATCAACTGTCTGTTCCCACATCATGTACTTTAGTAGTACGTCTTTTCTTTTAGTATTTATTTTGGTCCTTCGCCCATTATTTATTTAGTTTACCTGACTTAGTTTTTCTTTTATTCTTTCCCTTTTCATTTGGACATCTGCTTTCCTTTTTTTCCCCCTTAATTCCTGTCACAATACAGGGAAAATACGTTTTCATGGTTATTCATAATATTGTTTGAAATTAAGAAAGTATATTTTTTAAAAAAACTTATGTCTAAAAGTAAATTTCTTGTGTGTAAAAAAAGCGATAAGGTTACAAAATTAAAAATAATTTTGTAAAGACGCACAAAACCATTTGACACCCCTATAGGTTTTATCCTAACATGAGATTTGTAGTTAATTTTCCTCTAATACTTTTTATTTGTCGGATTAAAGTAATAGGTCCCCACAAATTTGGAACGTGAGAAATTTCCTCGATAGTTCTCGATGGAACAAATAGACTTTTACTTAGACATGGAAATACAATTTCCTTGTCCAAATTCCAGATATGGTCGATCGGACCTCACATTTCCAAAGGACCTCTATTCTTAATTTATAATTCGAAAAACAAGGAAATAATCAAATATATAATTATGGCGAATAATGATGAAAAATTAGTACATTGTCATTTGGTACTCTAAGATATAAGGGCAGTGGCGGACCCAGGATTTTGTGCAAGCAGATTTAATCTTAGAAGTACATAAATTTAGTTGTAAAATAGTAGTTGTCAAGTGGGTTCAAATAAAATATTTATACAAAATTTACGCAACTTTAATCGTAATTTAGACATATACACAGTATTATTTTTTTATGAAACGGGTTCAATTAAACCTGCTTGTCACCACGTGTGTCTGCCACTGTCTAAGGGTGGTTTTTGGGACCAAAAGAGATGAGCAAGTTCATGGTATACAACAACAACAACAACAGACCCAGTGTAATTCCCACAAGGAGTCTGGAAGGATAGTATGTACGCAGATCTTACTCCAAACTCCAAACTTCAAGAAGACAGAGAGGTTGTTTCCGAAAGACACTCGGCTTAGGAAAAGATAAAAGGAAGGGCAGCAGCAAGTTCATGGTATAAATATAGTTTTATTTTTTTATAAAGCACTAGAGTTTACATCACCTAAAAATTAGTAAAGCACTGAGGTAAAGAACATGCCAACTTATCAAATATACTTGAATAGTTCAACCACTAGAACCCCATTTGGTTCAAATCCTAGATTGATAGCTTATGATCTCCTTTTCATGAATCTTCTAGAAATATTTCTCATCTCCTTTTCATGAATCCAATGCAACACAGCTGTTACAATCCTTAATCTGAGAGAGGAAGAGAAAGAAGGACGATTTCCACGAGAGGGGAAAATTTTTCATTAACTATTTTACACAGCTTGCAGATATAACTTGAGCTTCTTATAGGTTGAAGCTCTATGCAAGTGAAACTAAATATGGAAATCAACTAACAAAATGAATAGAAATTATCCAACTGCTATACAGTTGCTGACTTCCAAACAAATTTTCTTCAAAACTCTCTAGCTGCATCTTATCTCAACTTTGCTCACAGCGACTGCTTGAATTTTCACGAATCACATTATTCCAGCTTATTCCGAGAATACAATATTGCATATGCTGCAACCATACTTGGTGTACAATCAGAAAGTGGACCGCTCGTCTCCCCCTGGGTTGAGCAACTAATGTTCATCTTTGGAGGTCTTAGCAGCTCAATAACCTCTTCAGCAGCATTAATTTGTTTTTCTCGAAGGTTGTCATCAAGTATTAAATCCCTGTGATTTTAAGATTCCCAAGTCATATTTAAGCCGTTTTTAATGATTACTGCACGTACTCTTACGCAAACAGAGGCAGACAAATGCTGCTCTCTGTTGTGAAAACAACACAACTACAAGGGACAAGGATCATTTAGTCGAAGCTTACTTGAGTAATGATGCCAATTTTGAAGGAGTGCAATCTTGAAATAGAGCTTCAGGGATTATAGCTGAATCCAAAAGAATATTAGGAAGAGAGATGTATGGTATAATAGCTTTGTATCGTATAACTAATTCTGTCAGGAGATGGGCTCGATACGCAACAACACATGGCAGTCTTGCAAGCTGCACTTCCATCGCAACTGTACCAGAAGTACATAGTGCTACACTGCTTGCCTGCAGAAGCACAGTTCATGTTACCACATCCACCTTGAAACATGAGGCAACTTAATATATTCATGAATCATGAACCAGAAAAGTAAAGAACTGAGAATTATCTCCACATTGATTTAGTCATTCATAGGTATGTTACTTCTTTNTATTGATTGTCATTCATTGGTATGTTACTTCTTTACGCAAAAGATGATTTAACAGCAGAAAAATTGTGGGCCATAGGCTATGTATATCCCCCTCAATAATTAAAAAAAAATACATTAAAGTTTCACTTTGTGATAAAAAATTGGATAAAAAGGAAAAACTAATTATAGTGACAAAGTGCAAAGCACACAATTCACATAAAATGCAAATACTAATAACTATGTTTAGGAAGCGTCTTTTGGATAAAACAAAGATTTTCTGAAACAGACCTTGGAGTTACTGCTGGCACTTAAAAGCATACCTATAGCTTGCCTAGTATCAAATCCACATAAAAAGTCTTTGAATAACTGAAAAAAAATGAACAATTTGAAAGAAACTCGTAACAAGCATAAAGTACCATTTACTTGTTCTTGATTAATAAATAACTTCAGCAAATCTGCAGGAGCTTAAAGGATATACCATCTATTATCAAGAACAAAACTAGAACTAGAAAACATGGTAGCCAATTGGCAACCTCTAGTAGCAACGACTAGGTTTTCATCCTTGGAAATGAGATCCACAAGATCCAAACCAAGTGTCTGGCTCTTTCCTACTCACGATGTATCATACTCCCAACACTATGAGGAACAATTAAATACAAACAAAAGATAAAAAAGGGAAGCCCGGTGCACAAAACATCTCGCATTCACGCAGTGTCCGGAAAGGCCGCACCCTAAGGGGTGTGATGTAGTCAGCTTACCCTAATGCAAGCATTAGTGGCTGCTTCCACGGCTTGAACCCGTGACCTATAGAACACACGGAGACAATTTTATCATCGCTCCAAGGCTCCCCTTCATAGATGCTAATTATCCATTGCAAGGCACATTCATCGAGCTCTGTACCTTAAAAATACCGTCAAGGGACTTGCTCCATTTCCAGTTACACCCTTTTTCCAATTCATTGAGTCACTTCGACCACAGTATGTCCCAAAATAGTTAATTCTTCCAGAATAATGAACATTGAAACCTTTTCCTATTCCCCCAAAGTTCACAGCCGGAATAGGAAGCATAATTCTAGTCCGAGCTACATCACTTCAAAATGTAAAGATACAAGAGTCAAGGCCTTACACTAAATGAATTGTATTTCATCTGGTGTGATCCTCCAGGAACCAATACAACAGATGATGGCCACTTACAAACAGCTTTATCAATGTAGCCTTCCACATGTTGATTAGGTGCCACATGAACTGCTGTTACCAAGTCCGGAAATGAACCTTTCAAATGTTCCAAAGTGCTTGAGAATATGGGGAACATTCGAGTAACCTCCTGTAATCTACTTCCAGGAAGCAAGGAAATGACTGGGGATCCTTCAAATTAAGCTAACAACACAATTAGAAAGTTGGCAAGGAGAAACAAAATTGATAGAATAGCACGTCAACCGATAAAAAGGTAATAATATCCTCTCTCTTTTTTCAGTAAGCCACTGAGAAGGAGACACAGATTTTGACATATTGGAAGTAAATACAGAGAACACGATCTTGCCTCGTTAGATAACCGACAAATTACAGCAAAAGCATAGAAATAATATTTTCTTTTTGAAATGGTATAGAAAATATACATTGTTCATACAAATTGAAAATTTTCACAGCATAGTACTTTCATCACGGGTATGAAACTTGGCTATACTATGCACAAATATAATCTAGTATGATACATCATATACTTTCTCACAATATATTAGTACAAGTTAACATACCTGATGATATTCCATGATCAGTTAGAAATGCTTCAGCATTTCCTTTAATTCTGTATCTTCTTTCTATGGCATCCTTCACCTAAAATTGAATATTAGACAACATTACGCCATTACACTATATAAAATTATAATTTCACTGTTGCATTGGTAGAATAACTTTATTCCCCACTTGTTCATATTTCTTAGCATTTCTCTTCTCTTTGTTCCCCTGGTGGGATTCATCAGTGTATACAAATGATTAATTAGGTGGGTTGTTAATTGACAAGACGAAAAAATTGCCATTTCAAAAGTTAAAAACATTACTTTAACGTGACGACAGCATTATCAAGGAATCACTCAATCCCACCAGGAAATTGCACAGAAATTCTTAGTGAATAGTTTCTTGACAGGAAAGAAATTTTATCACACTAATGAAATCAACACTTAGTAAATTGTTTCTTGGAAAGAAAGAATATCTGCATGCTCAAAAGGTAAAAATCCAGACACTGGTATATGAAGGCACTATTTGAATGACGAAGTTTTTCATGTACCAAATGTAGAATAAAACACAAATCAAAATACTGATTTACCTGGAAGTCCGAAATATCTTCAAGGGTGGGATGACCAACAAAGGTTGCTGCTAGGCCGTTTGATCTACAGACTTCTGCCTCAAACGGAAGAATGCATAACACATGATCCACAAACTGAAGAAGTCCTTTTAGTCTTGCTTCACCACCTTTCCAAGCCCAAAATGACGGTGATACATAATGGAACTGCAAAGGGCTAAACATTCCCTGCTGAACACATGTAGCTGCAAAAAGTTTTTCCCAGTGCACAAGGAAAACGCGAGAAATCTCTTTCGAACTCACAAAAGCTACAGAGCATTACCCCTCAAATGCTTTAAGAAACGGAAGGAGAATCCTTTAGAGTCTACAGTGAGTACGACATGAGGCCTAAAAGAAAGAGCTGCTTCTATAGTTTGTTTCAGCCTAACCTGTCATTTCAAAATTCAAATAAGGTCCGAATTTCATGCATAGATAATTATTATTTTTACTTGGAAAAACTATAACTTGATTTTTAGCATGCAGAAAATTCATAACATTTCATACTCTAAATTGATTAAGATATGGCAGCAACTCCCAAATGCCCATTACTGCAATATCCTCTATTGGGAACAGAGTATTCAACCCTTGCTTACACATCATCTTCCTGATAAACATACAAACCACAGAAAGAATAATGATAATTAAAGGAGTTGACAACTTGACTTAATTATAGCTGCTGCAACTTTTGACTAGTGAAAAGCATATTAATAATTTCAAGTTTCAATTATAACTTTAAAATATTACTAATAATTAGAAAAAGGGGGGGGGGGGGGGGGACAGATTACCCTCCAACGCCAGCAAAACGGACAGGCAAAGGAGAAAGCTTTTTTAGAGAACTCATGACACGGGAACCAATTGTATCACCAGAAACCTCGCCGGCAACAATGAAGACCCTGAGTTCTGCATCTTTTGAAGCCAAATCAACTGCACTTTGACTTGAAACTGAGAATGTTCTTCTCATTTGCCGCACCAAGTTTAGGTTTGTTTCAGTATTAGCATTCCAAATTCTTCTAATAAACATATCTTGGTCTCCCTAAAACGGAAATACGAATACGCAAAAAAGAAAAGTTAGTGAAACCCTTATTTTGGAAAGTATTAAATAGTAAATGAAATGGGAATTTCAGCAAAGCACTGAACTTGTAGTATCTTTTTTTTTTTGTCTGGAAAATGGCAGACTCAACCAGCGCTCGCTCTCTTCTTCCCCTTTTTTCTTTTTTCCCACTCTTTCCTTTTCTAATTTGATGATTCGGGTCGGTAAAATGAAGCGGACCAAATAGGAGTCCCGAACCTAAATATGGTTTTTCTACACTCAAATTACCTTAACAGGTGTTTTAAAAAAAATATATATTTCTATATATAGCGTGCAAAAATAAGACGCTATACATTAACGGTAACGTCTGTCATTAAGGTATAACGTCTTTTATTCATACGCTATACATATAACGCCCAAAAAAAACGCTATACCCTGAATATGGACTCACCAATAAGTGAACTGACAAACACAATAATTTAAATGTGTATAGCGTATATTTAAAGAACGTTATACGGCAAAAAATTTCCATATCCCGGGCTAGCCATTTCCTATATAAAGTGGTTAGGATTTTAGGAAAATTCGTTCACATAAAATTCTAACTCCTGTTCAATTTTTTCTTGTTGTTAAATTCTGAAGCATTTCTTTTGTAATGTCTGAAGAGCGTAGATAAGAGTTTCATTATAATGGGGGGGTGTGAGGTTGTGATGGAGAATAGCTCTGTGAGGTATAGTTTATCTCCACAGGGTCAATGTTAAATTACCACTTACAATAGTGTACGATAAATTGATATCGTTGTTATGCAAAAAAAATGGGTGTGAGGAAACGTTCAGTGATACATAAAGTAACCGGAAGATATTTGTATTTCGTCACTCCGCAAGGGGCTGCTTTTTACTCGGAGTTAAACATCTACGATGATGAAACTTTGAGGGATTTTCTGAGGACTCCGGATGAATACTGGGAATATCTTGTAATAAATATGTTGGATATGTACATCAACATCGAAGACGTTCCAAACAATGAGGTTGCCGGACAGGTTCCGAATAACCCCCAGTCATCGGGTGGCTATTCTAGAGGAGTTTTTGCCGGACATGTTTGAAAGAGTTTTCCTTGATTTAAACTTATCCTCGTCTGCTTTACATAATTCACAAGATGAGTGGTAAGCTTCAATTTTCCTTTGTGTTACGATGCACATTTTTATTGTATTGAATTTGTATTAACGCTCATATATTTAACAGGAGGTACAGTCCGGATATGAATTTTACAAATTTTGAACCCAACATAGTTTTGGTGTATCGGATCATGGTGGTCCATACGAGAGCCATCGCCGAAATGAAAATGTCCATCATGGAATTTCATCACATTACGACTTGTAAGTGAAGTGATACGGCTATATGGAAAGTATTTATTAAATTCAGCATCTTATTATTTTGTTGATTGTACAGTGAAAACGAGCAAGTTGAACCAAATATACTCACTCAATTGCCCGAAGACGACATATTAAATTGGGATCTGGCAGATGCACAGAGTGAGGAAGAGAACAGTGATTACGACAACAATGCTGATGAATCTGGAGACGAGACATCTTTTCTTCGTGAGGATGGTGATGAGGAGGATGAAGGGCACTATTTAAATTGGGGTATAGCGTATGAAAAGAAAACGCTATATATAACGTACAATAACAAGACGCTATATGTGGCAGTCAAATCGTCAGACCATATAGCGTATGAATAAAAGACGTTATACCTTAATGACAGACATTACCGTTAATGTATAGCGTCTTGTTTTTGCACGCTATATATAGAAATGTATTTTTTTTTAAAACATATGTTAAGGTAATTTGAGTCCAAAAAAATAATATTTAGGTTCCGGACTCGACCAAATAGGGGTATTATCACTTTTAGCCCGCATTAGAAATTATTTATATTTGGTAACCGTAAAAATATATAAAATTTATATAATTTTTGTATATAACATATAAAATGTATATATATACAAAAATATATAAATTTTATATATTTTTCGGCTATTATTTTTACAGTGGCTATACAGTGTCATTCCTCCCGGCCAAATATGCTTGGGCGATTGACAGAAATGGCCCCACGGTTGCGCGATTGACAGAAATGGCCCCAGGGATTGGTCTTAGCAGAATGTCTCCGATATTCCTGACCCATACACAATAATCGCTCTTCAATATTTTCCTAAATGACTGGTAGAGTTTATGCTATATTTACTCTATTTATTTGTTAAGTTGTTCAACATAGTCTACCAGATTAACATGATTTTACTCTTCATAGAATTTTTTCTATCGGATCAGTGGAGTTTATACTATATTTACTCTAACTATTTATTAAGTTGTTCATCAAAGTCTACTCGATTAATATTTTATCTTTGTTATTTTAATAAAGTGTTCTTTGAATTTACAACTTCGATTTCGATCAAAACACCCCAAATTTGCTCCAAATGTTCTTAAATTTGAAACGAAGCTTCCAAATACCAACACACAAATCATAATCACCAATTCATTCATATAACACCAAATCAAAAAGGCCTATTTTGTCTTTTCCAATATTTTTTAAGGTCCAATAGTATAGTTTAGAAATTTTATAGTAAATCACTTAATCAATGTTTGAGCTAAAAAATTTAGCATAAATTATCAGCATTCAAACGTTTTTAACAATAATGGATTATTACTCCTCACTTTATACTACCAAACAAGAACTTTAAGCTTTGGAATATTGAAGAACTATGGTGTTTAAGTAAAAAAAAATTGGGATATTTTGCTAAGACCGTAAGAAAAGGGAACATTCCGACAAGATCAATCCCCGTGAAGTGATTAATGGCTAGTTTTAGTAAATCTACGATTAATGACTATTTAGAAATTAGCCAGTGTGTCATGTGTTTCAGTTTTTCAACTCAAATTTTCAGGATACAAATTCTGAAGTTAAGATTTTTAATTCAAATTTTTAGGATAAAATAAATACTGGCTAAATCCTAAATGGTTGTTGGGATATATAATATTAACCATGGGTTTGGTTTAGATATAGTATTTATTATGAAACAATTGTTTATTTAGTTTTAATAAAATTTTAAATAGATCATATATTAGTGTGTGTCCTTTGCTTATATAGTAGATGAATTAGTGCATAGAGTTTAGCTTATACACGGAAGATTAAATCATCGGTTCTTATAAGTATAAAGTTTGAGTTCACAATCTAATGATGAAATTGGACAAACCATCAGGAATGATTGTAGCACAAGATTAAATATAATTTATCTTGATTATGGGAATGGTTTACTTCCAACTTTTTGTGCTAGTATATTTTGTATGTATTGAACGGACCAAGTAGAGATAAGTATTTTATATTGACTTAATAAAATAAACTCTCTAGCCATTAAATGTAATTATACTCTTAATCTTGATATAATTATTATTAGTTGTGTACATTATTATTATTTTGATTTATTAAAAGGCGAGATTCTTTCGTGGGTCAGTATGTCTGGTAAATTGGATAATAATAATAATAATAATAATAATAATGTACATTGGCGAAATAATAGTTAGTTTATGGAATCCATATCTTGGTTTAGAGATTGATGATACACCTTTATGAAAGCTTATAAATTTTTATGTGTAAACCCGGTCGGTGGATTTTGTATCCGACATACGAAATAAGTTAAGCGAAAGTCTAAAGGAAATAATCAATAAATTAAATCATCAGTAATTTAATTTAATTGATTAGTATCTTAACATGGGGAGTTAAATAAGATTTAATGGATGAATTTCGAAATTGATTGAGGAGTGCAATTACGAATTTTTAGTGGAATAATTCGTAATTAATTATGGTGGATATTAATTTCGAAAATTACAAATTAATTCCATAAATGGAAGCCTTGTTAATTAAATTTTGTGGTCCCTACTATGCCTAAATAATAGGAAATAAAGGAATATTTTTTATGGTGGAAAAGAAAACCCAACAGGTTTTGGAAAAGGGTTTAACCCTTAAAACTTGTGCTATAAATACATAAGGTTTTCCACCTAGAGGAATGAGCACATGGTAGCCGAATTTTAGCCTCTTTTCCTTAGAGAATTTTACCCACACGAAATTGTTATTTTCGGGTATTATTTGGGTAACACAGTAGAAAACTGTGGAACGTTCAGAGATCGTGATCGTGCAGGTGGTGGAGAATTCATTGAGTTGTTGTGAAATTGAAAGCTCGCGTGATAAATGAGCTTTGTTCACGCTTCAAGAGGTAACCCATGAAATTCTGTTTATGCTAGTTGTCTAGATTACATGTGATTTTGATACTGGGATTGCTTCCGCTGCTTATTATAACCCATCAATAGCAGCCTAAAAATTACTATCTTCCCTCCCCCCACACACTAATGGAAGGCTTAGCTATTGCTGCTTCCGTTACCATTTACCCTCTTTGTAATTGTGATTGCAATTTTAAGCCCTTCTTTTTTTTTGGTGGGAAAGATAAATGACATATATTAAAACATGCGTACAGGGTTTTGATGCTCATGCATCATAATACAAGTGCTAGTGTTAGCTATACTATTAGGTATACTATCCGTACAGGCATAACTATGTGAGGTATCGCTTCTAGTAATGTTACATTGACGATCCTCCAAAGTAGTATGGAATGCATTTTTACTACTAAAGCTATCAAAATAAATACTACCAGTCTCCTTAGGTACATGGTTAGTAACAAAACATCTATTGATGTCTTGATCATCCAGCTGATGTACTACTATAGATGGAACCATGCGCTGGTATGTGAATCCTCGCTGGTCTTCTAACAGTTGTTTTGTAACACAAAAAGGTGGTTCAGCAAAAATGCACAATACAGTAGCAGGTGGCATCCTACTTCCTAGTTTTGCAAGATTATCTACTACACAATTCTGCTCCATGTACGTATGGGTGACTACTGGATCATAGAGTGTCCCTAGGAGGTACCTGCAATCCAAAATTAAGTAGAATACCTCGAATTTTGGTTATCCAAAAGTGTAATTACCTCTTTTGCATCTATTTCCACTTGAAGTGGTAGCAGTCTCAGTTGTGTTGCTAGACTTAAACCTTTGATGAGTGCTTGTAATTCAGCAGATAGACAGTTCATATAGGGAATTGGGCCAGTGAATCCCACCATCCACTCGCCCTTGTGATTTCTAATAACCCCCC